TCTGGGCCTCACGAACGATTACACTCTATGGTAGAAGCAGCATGTGGACCAGAGCATGGTCAAGGCTTAAAAGCCGCTTATGGTCTGCAATCGACTTGTCGGAAAGTCTTGGGGCTGTAAGTCAAAGATTATCAAGAGGATGTATATAATGATCGTGAGACCGATTATTACTTATGAGGCGGGACTTCAACTATCAAAGCTGCAACGACTTGCCTGCATTTGCGCATCGGGTTCAATGCATACGTGCCCGACAGCAGCACTAGAAGTCATGCTGAAACTCACACCGCTACGTATAGTAATCAACAAAGCTGCCATACATACACTGCTTCATATGACAGCAGAAGGGTTTGGCAAAGGGAAGGTAATTTCGTCACAGCAATTGAAGGCCCTAAGTGATGAAATAACACTGGCTCTTTTACCAGCATTACCAAAATCGTAAAATTTACTAAGAAGTTTAAAGTTACCCATGGCAGTAAGGCGGAATGGAATAATTCCACGCTCGACCTGATAAGGATAAGCACAATCAAATGGTACACCAATGGTTCAAAAGCCAAAGGAATTTGTGTAGAAGTTGCAGGACCACGTACTAAACTCTTCATCCCTCTAGGAAGTCTTTGCTGTTTAGATATAAACCAAAAACGCAACTAACGCATCGAAAGTATCGCCATACTCAGCGAAAGTCAAGCGGTCCTTAAAAGCGTTTTCTGCTAAATAGCCTACCAGGCTATAATCAAGCGCACTTTATCTGGGTGACTGGTCACAAGGGTATAGCCGGGAATGAACTGGCTGATGAGCTTGCCCACAGCTTCCACCAGAATGGTAGGATAAGAAACTTACATTGCGGTTGGTCCTCATACCATAAAGAAGCTGCTCCGCAAGGAGGAAAGAGTAGGCAGGGAGAAGAATTGGCCATGGCTTGCGCCAGGCTACGTTGCTAATGGGTGGACACAACCTCAGCAGGTTGAAAAATGTAATCAATCTCTAGAGGAACGAATTCCAGCTAATGTCGCATTCTACACTTGCCATTGTAAGCTCAAGAAGCACTTATTTAATTTGGGCTTATTCTCTTTTGCAAACTGCCGGATCTGCGACATAAGGCCGGAAACTGCAGAACACCTGCTGAAAAAATGCACAGCAGTCTGCAGACGCAGGATCAAGGCCCGTGGATCCATGTTTCTGAATAGGCATCACTTTGTCTGAATATCACCTAGCAGTATATTGGAATTTATCAATGTGCTGGAGCTAAATGAGTTGATGTGACTTAGGGTAGGACACAATAGACCATAGGTCTCGGTGTTGTTTTTGTTGTTGTAAAGGTTATCTAGTCCCCTCTTGTGTGGTAAGCTATAGTTTGATTGTCGTCGAGGTCATCTAACGGGAGGCCCAGGAAACATATATTGGGTATGTCGGAGTCGATTCTGTATAAGGAGGAGGAGGCAACTCAATCTCTACGTCTGCGATGGGTGGTGGTTTGACTCCTAGTACGACATTCACTGAGAGGGAGTTGATGAAGGTGTTAATGGCTTCACTGTGAATGGTGGTCAGTGCTTGTCTTAAGTTCGTTGCGTCCAAAGTCTGGCCGGCGTACTGTCTAATGTCGTCGACGTGATCAAGGAAGAACGTCTTGATGTTCCTAGGATTCGGTTTCTTCGTCTGCATTGCACTACATCCAGGCGACCATATTGCAGTAGCATAATTTTAGACCGGCCAGCCCATTGTCTCGCCAAGAGCAGCCGGCAAGCGATTTGAAGATTTTGTTGCGGCTCTGTACTTTGGCAGTTATCACGGTTGTGTGAGGAGTGAAGGAGCACAGACTGTCTAATGTAACGCCTAAAATTTTAGGGTTGGTGACTGTCGGAATTTTGATGCCATCACTGAAATATCTAGATCAAGTCTATACTCCTTTGTCCAGTTTGTGAAAATGGTTGCTATGGATTTAGTGGAGAGTGTCAAGCTCCTTGCAGAGAAAAAGCGAGAAAGGTCGGAGAGATAGCCGTTTACTTTCGAGCACATGCTATCGATTCTATTGCCCGACGTCAATATCGTGCAGTCATCAAACTCCCTCTGGTGGCTGGGGAGTATCGAAATATAGAAATTAAACAGTAGCGGGGAGAGGACACCACCTTGCGGAACCCCCTGTTTAATTCTTCTAAGTTTGGAGTTTTTAGTTCTTTTTCTGCGCTGCCAAATTACTATTTTTTGTGAATTTGCCTATACAACTATGGACACCGAAAGTTAACGTTTATTCTTTTTTTTTTTTTTGTTTATTCGTGCATGAATATTTTATTTGGTAATATTTATTCAGTCGTAGAAAATTTGTTTACCTTTAGCGGTGGCCACATTTTATCGACCAAATCAAATTGAAAATACTGTTTATTTTATAATTCGTAAATTATATAAAAACAAGTAAGGAAGCGCTAAGTTCGGATGTAACCGAACATTTTATACTCTCGCAAAGTCAAATGGTATACTCGTTTGAGATTTCTTTGTGGATTGGCTGATATTTTCGGTAGAAGGTCAACTATAGGCACTGGGGTCCACATATTTAGTACTTAGGGGCTTGAACAGTTTTGGTTCGATTTAGACAATTTTTGGTCACAAGGTGGCATACATTAAACGTATTATTCACGCAAAGTTTTACCCCGATATAATCATTGTTGCTTGATATGCATAGTGGAAAGTGAAAGAATCAGAAGGAATTGAATATGGTGTTATCTGGGAAATAGGCGTGGTATAGTCCGATTTAGCCCATTTATAACATAGAAATATGAAGAGAACGTTATGCACCGAATTTGGTTGAAATCGGTTAAGCAGATCCCAAGATATGGGTTTTCACCTAAAAGTGGGCTGTGCCACGCCCACTGTCTAATTTTGAACGCGTTTCCTATAAAGTCATCTCATACCATCCCAGAGATAAAATTTAATGTCTCTGGCGTTTTTAGTGCTTGATTTATCGCGCTCCCTGTGTACCAAATAACAGTCTTGTATCTTATTGCGGAGCTTAGTTATGGCAATTTATTTGTTTTTGATTAATGGCGTTTTGTGGGCGTGGCAGTGGTCCGATTACGCCCATCTGCAATACCAACCGTCTCACGGTACCAAGAAACATGTCTACCAAGTTTCATAAAGATATCTCAATTTTTACTCAAGTTAATGCTTGCACGGACGGACGGACAGACAGTCACCCGGATTTCAACTCCTCTCTTCATCCTGATCATTTATATATACATAACCCTATATCTAACTCGATTAGTTTTAGGTGATACAAACAACCGTTAGGTGAACAAAACTATTATACTCTGTAGCAACAGGTTGCGAGAGTATAAAAAGTCGCAACGAGGCTAATAGTCATAAAAAGATGATCGAGATTATTGATACTCTAAAGGTATCAATGGAACGTTATGGACAATGTTTACTGGTAAACAAATTATTGGCACTAAAAATATACGCATTAACGTTAGAAAACTATTTTGAAGCAATTATAGAATATGTGGAATATTATAATAAGTTAAGTGTTGAATTGGGGTTTTGTAAAGTTCCAGATCAAAGAAATTCAACATTGAGGTTAGGGATTATGCTATACCCTCTATGACAATGTTACTTTTTCTTGTAGAACTCCTTTTTGCGTTAGGGGCCTGCGGTCGCGCTTCAACTGAAAAATAACCCTGGTCGGTTCAACACCGGGGTTAATCAAATGAAGGAAACTAAAAGATTTATTAGTGTCCATCAACGATTTTGATTCCTGTATTAGGGGTATAATCTCTCTTTTTATTTGATTTTTCTTCGTTTGCAAAATATATTAGTAAGGCAACACTTGTTATTTGACATTTACAACCCTTTTGTTATTGTCAAAATTAATAGAATTGAAGAATACTTTAAATATTGAAATAAAGCTATTTTTGCATCATATAGTATATATCCCCGAAATCCTAGGACGGTATTCTAAAGCCGACCCTCTGTAAATGTAAATTATGAATTTTTATTTTTCTGTTGAAGCGCGGCCACAGGCCCCTAACGCAAAAGAAGTTCTACAAGAAAAAGTAATATTGTCATAGAGGGTATAACATAATACTTAACATCAATGGAGAGCATTGATAGTTATATAGTTTTGTCAACATGGAACCCATTTGTTATTGTTCATATTACGAAAATTGTGTAGAAATAAAATTCTTATTTTAAGCAAATACTTAAATATTTAATATAAAATAAATAGGTAGAAACATTGTAGTGAAGTGTTAGTGTGTAATAAGTGCATAATATAAAAGAAAAGATAACCATAAATCGAGAAATTGTTAAATGAAATTTTCAACTTAAAATGCAAATATCTCGAAAACTATAAGTTTCCGGCGGCAATAATTATATATATTCGTGATCTGGAGAATTTCCACTATCCAACCATACCCCTCTTAACCCTGAAATCGTGGGATGCTAAACTAAAGTTTTCCCGAATAAGGTTGACCGGCAATTTTTTTTTTTTTTTTTTGAAACGCTACAAAACCATTATTGAAACTTATTACAAATTAAATAATTTTTTACGTCAATTATTTCAATTAGAATTTTCTTCTAACAGTAACCTAATACTTAAATATAGGAAACATAAATATTCTTATTATATTCTTGAAAGCATATATATACATCAGGTTTAGTTTTAACTTAAAACGGATAAACATTCAACACATTCGACTTTCAAGACAATTTTCGGCACATTTTGTATAATGGATACAAATCCACATTTTATATTGCTATTAGCAGCAGAAAACTTACCAATTCGTGGTTATTGCACACAAATATAAGTTATTTTTTTCAACTTTTTAGCGATGATTTATTATATCCAAATCAAGAAACAAACAACTGAAAATATTATATCCTTCGCAAATTTGATGGCAAAGCTTCTAAACCCAAATTGACACCGACTCGCAGAAAACACAGGCAACGTTAAAACATTCTTGTAGAGATGCCACTCTACGGTCAAATCCTATATAAAACCTTAACCATGAAGTACACGCAAGATTTTTATCTGGTTTACTTTACGACTTCGCTTGAATGTTTATACTTGTATATTCGAAGAAAAGCAAGCATACGGTGTGTCATAACGAACGCTGTACAATTAATTTTAGTAATGCATAAATTAATGAATTTTGTTTTTAGGATGCAAATGTAATAAAAAACTTTGGTATAGAATCCCCGAATTCGGGTAAAAAATGGATATGAGCGGATGGAGATATTCTCCAGATAGAGAATATATAATATAAACATTTAGCTGCAGGAGACTTATAGTTTTCGAGGTACTTGCATTTGAAACCCAAATTTCACATATTAAGGTATGTAATTTGTCTACGAATTATGAGTTTTACATTTATATTATTCAATATATGATCTATTAACACACCTTTAAATAGGTTTTACACATTTATTTAATCATATTTTATGCCCAAATAGTTTTAAATGCTAATTAATTAAACAATTTATAACAAAACTTTACATGCAAATAAGAACCGGTAAATTTTAGGTTAGCATCCCCCGAGTTCGGGGTTAAAATCGGTATGCACAGATAGGGGAGACTTTCTTAAGGATATGTATACATTTAGTTGCCGCTGACTTACGGTTTGTGAGATAAGCCTGATGTCGTAAAGTCCCGCTGTTGTCTTAATAACTGTGTCCATAAGAACGTATGTATTTTAATATTTCACAGATGCTGCCCGGTTCTAAGTTACAAGGATTGACCCAGATTTTATCCGGCCAAGGGCTGTTATTTCGGCGAACTAACATTGTTTGGATTGGTAAGTTTTAGTTAAAGTTTGTCGTCATTAGAGCAACGCCAAGTAGCAGAGTTGCTGCGCATCCTCCTGACTCGTACTGGCATCGAGTCTAGGCCCCGAGGAATTCTTCAGCTGCATTTGTCTTGTCTCGGAAGACAAGTACCATCCTGCTATCGACATCTTGCTTATTTTTCGGCCGGGGTTGACGCCAGATAATTCCTCATCATACGTATTTAAAAAGGCTAACTACGCAGCCCTTAATACTTCTCTCCTAAGAACGAATTGGATTGACCTCTACAAATTCGAGACTATTGACAGTAAGTTGGACTTTCTCTATGCAAAAATCTTTGAAGGTGTAAACCAGTTTGTTCCAAGCCGAGTAACTATCCATATTGGTTCTCACATGATCTCATTCACAAAGCTAAACAGAAGAAATCTGCACACCTGAGATATAAAAATCGGAAAACTAAGCCAAATTATTTACGATTCAGCAGGTTAAGATTGGAATGCAAAAAGTTAAGTATCGAATGCTACAAAAGTTAGAGGACAAACTGCAATCGGAGAGCATTCTTTAATTTTATCAAGGACGAAAACCGTTGCACCGGTGACATACCATCTTCAGTCTGCACTTGCAAAACTATTTGAGAGGTTAGTGCTTCCACAGATACGTCAGGCATTTGAAAACATCATAACAACCAAACAACATGGCTTTACTGGTGGCAGATTTACCACTACCAATTTGTTCATATACGTCGACAAACTGCTGAACTCCATGGATTCCGGCAACTGCACACACAGCATTTACACAGACTTCAGCAAGGCTTTCGACTGTGTTGACTACGAAATACTTTTAGATAAGCTAAGTAAATATGGTGTGGCTGGACGTGCATTAGCTTGGATACGTACATACCTCACAGACAGACGCTTGCAAGTCAGAGTAGATGGCCACTTATCCAGTGAATATGAAGTAATCTCTGGTGTGCCACAAGGATCTCACCTTGGTCCTGTACTGTTTAACATCTTCGTCAACGACATTGGTAATAACTTTGCTTCTGATTTCCTTCTGTATGCTGATGACCTCAAAATATTTAGATTGATTACTTCTGAGACAGACATCATAATCTTGCAACAAGACATAAATACCCTCAGTGACTGGTGTCGAGTGAATAAGCTGGATCTCAACGTAAACAAATGTGCGGTTGTATCTTTCGCTCGCTCACACTCACCGATCCGCACGAGCTCCAAACTTGATGGGCTTGAGATAGCTGAGGTCGAGAACATAAAAGACTTAGGTATCATTGCTGATAATAAGCTCACCTTCTCACACCACGCAGACAAAATTACATCAAAGGCGTTCAAAGCCCTTGGATTTATACTGAGGAGTGATAAAGATTTCAAAAACCCTTGGACACTCATTAGACTATTCAAGTCACTTGTACTACCAATTTTGGAATATGGTTCGGTAATCTGGTCTCCCTACACTAACACGACAATCGATAAAGTTGAAAAGGTGCAGCGTAAATTCTGTAAGTCACTGGCCTATAAACTATCTTCACCAAGTCACATCTGCTCTACTGATGAGGTCTACCAGTGCTACTGTATAAACAAACTGTCTTCTCGTCGACAGGTCGCTGACCTCTGCTTTTTCTACAAAGTAGTCAATAACATCACTGATGTTCATGAGATCTTTAACAGTTTTGAACTCGCCCCTGCTGGTCTTACCCTGAGGCGAAATAGATTACTAAAAACATCGAAATCCAAGAAAAATTATGTTATCCATGGTCCTCAGAATAGACTGGCTAATTTAGTAAATTCACTTCAAGGTGAAATTGATTTCTATGGAGGAACATACGCTGCTTTCTCCGAAAACACCAAGAGACACCTGCTCGTCTGAATTACATCTAAATCAAGTCTGAATCACATATTAACTTACAATTATTTAAATATTTTCCAGTTATTACACTAATATACCCTAGCTACTTTTGTATAATACTTTAATTCTTTATTATATCTATGTATATTGCCGATTGGCGTTTAAGTAAATAAATAAATAAATTTGCGCAAAAAGGCTTCATCCAAACTCCACCTCGGTTAAGTGCAACACATGCAATGGATGGAGCCATCTTAAGACTTGCTCAGGCCTCAAGACCCATAGGTAGTGGCCCACGAGTTACGTGGGCCCATGCTGCTAGCGCAATAGATAGATATAAATAGAGGTATGCACCGCGACCTATGGTCTATTGTGCCCTCCCCTAAGGCACAACGACTCATCTAGCTCCAGCACATAGATCAACTGGTATATGTATACCGCTAGGTGCTAGGGAAGCTATGCGATCTCTGGTTGGAAACATGGATGCCAGGGCCTTAATTCTGCGTCTGCAGACTGCACTAGCAGGTATTCTGCAAGAAGAAACTAAGCTCATGTTGAATAGATGCTTATTCAGCCTGCAATGATAGGTGTAGAACGCTACAAGCAGCCGGAATTTGTTCCTCGGGAGATAAATTACTGTTGTAAACCGTTTGAGATCGTAACCCTGCATCAGCAACCTTAGATGGCACATGCCTTGGAGTTGTTGCCAGTGTCTCTCCCTGCCTGCTCTTTCCTCTTTACAGACCAGTTCTTTAATGGTATGTAGACCAACCGCTACGCATGGTTCTGGTCCTACCATTATGGGGGAGGTTGCAGAGCGGGCCAATTCGTCAGCCAGTTCATTCCCGGCTATACCCCTGTGGCCAGGCACCCAAATGAGGTGCACTTTGTTGTGGTTTGATAGGCTGTTCAGCCGTTCTATGCACTCCTGCACTAGTAACGATCTGACCTCATAAGCGGAGATCGCTTTTAGTGTCGCCTGACTATCGCTGAGTATGGCAATACTTTTATTGCGATAATTGCGTTGGAGGTTTGTCTCTACAAATCGACTTATAGCATATACTTCCGCCTGGAAAATGTAGGAAAAATTCCAATGGGAATGGAGAGCTTGGTGCGTGGTCCTTCGACTCTGCACCAATCCCCTCCGCTTTTTTCGAGCCGTCGGTATACTACTCGATAGTACTATCCTTTAGCAGTAGGTCTTGTGTGGAATCGTTCCATTTCTCCTCACTGCCAAGGGTAACTGCCTCCTTTGTAGAGTGGAATCCAGCGTGAAGCCTAGATAATTGACCGTGTTAGCCATCTCCAACTCTCTGACGCATAGGGATGGATTTCTGAGGCCTGTCAGTATCCTTCGTCTGGTAAACAGTATGATTGTAGGTTTAATAGGGTTGATGCTTAAATCAACCCCACTTCACCAACCCTTTGTCAGCCCCAATAACCTTTGTACAATATCGCAGCGAGTGTCTATGAACTTACTTCTGACTAAGATAACAATATCGTCCGTGTATCCCTGATTCCATTAATGGTTAGCAGCTCCAGACGATCGTCCACAACTAGGCTCCAAAGTAGCGGGAAAATCACTCCACCCCGTGGACAGCCTCTTGTTGGGCCAAGACGAATTCTGGTACCGCTTACTGTGGTTTCAGCTAACCGGGTGCGCCGTACGGCTTCAATCCATCTGCGTACCGGTGCTGCCACACATATTTTTTCTAGTGTTCTTGATACGCATTTGTGAGACGTATTATCAAAAGCACCTTTGAAGCCTAGGAAGGCGTATAACAAAACCTCGCCCCCATCTAACGAACTTCGGATTTCTGAGGTTAGCTGCTTCGGATAAAGCGTTGCAGCTTTTAGCACGTTCGTGTATTTCGTGATCAATGATCTTTTCCATACTCTTAAGTAGGAAGGAAGTTGGGCTTATGGGAATGAAGAACTTCGCCAACGAATAGTTTTTTCTTCCTACCTTGAGTATGACGATCACCTCTGCAGTGCGCCAAGGTTCTGAGATATATGGCAGCGCTAGGCTATCCCTCATCAGACGAACAAGGTGAGGCAGTAGGACCTGCTCCCCCTGTTGCTGGAAGAATGCCAACTGCACCGGAGGCCTTATGTTTTTCGAAGGAGGACAAAGCCCATTTGATGGAGTCTGCAGTGAAGAGCTGTTTTGCGACTAACCAGTCCAAGCGAGATGGCTTTCGTTCGACCATAGGTCGAATCTGGTCTTTTTGAATTGTATCCGGGACTCTATCCTCTGCGCAGGACGTATGGGTCCCATCCGATTTTTTGATTGCTAGTACTTTGTCCGTCTTGCCTTTAGCCAGAGTCTTATGCAGCCTTGCACCATCTGGCGTTGAGGAGACGCTTTCACAGAACTTCCTGAAGCTCTTCTGTTTTGCTTTCCTAATCTCCTGTTTGTAAGCAGTTAGGCTGCTTTTGTAGTTTCCCAGTTCCCGGTACGCTTGGCCTTGTGAAATAGCTTGCGTACCGTTTTTCTCAGTTCTAAGAGCCTACTTGACCACCAGGAGCAGCTGCGGCTTTTGGTGGTCATCTTTAGGGGGCAGCTGCTGTAGTATGCCTCTATAATGGACTGGTGTAGCGCAGGAAATCTGTTCTCCAGTCCACAGGCAGTAGCACTGCCGTCTAGCTGATACCTCCAACCGACGGCCGCTGGCGGTGCTGTCAGTATCTCCCCGGAAAGGGCGCTGCTAGGACGAAGTTCGCTCCTTCGTTGCATCTAGCCTGCACAGCGACCAGGTCTTGTGTTAGCAACTTTAAAATACAAAAGAAATCCACATCGTTCCTAACTACTATACAGGTTCTAGGTCTCTCACTGGAAAGATCCCAGATTACCTTGTCTTCGCCGTTCTCCGCTTTGCCACCCGCTAGGTCCTTGAGTCCCTCGAGAAGCTCTTCCGTGGAGGGTAGCACCACCCCCTTGTTTGCCATCCTTCTCAGTAGGGACCTTCACCGTGGTTTTGGCAGTTGCCGCCTGCCTCGACTTACTTCTGCGGGGTTGAGTCGTAACCTCATCTACCAGTATCTTCTCGCTTTCGGTGGTCTTCTTAGGCCTATATGGCCTCATAACCACCGAATTGAACCTATAGTTCAGGCGGAAGCTCTCCCTCCTGACGAATTTATATGATTCGTCATCTATGCAGAGATTGTGCCTCCCCCCAGAATCTTCGACCTTGCTAGTGACTACTCGCCAGGACGATATACTAAGACCCTTGTTCTCATTTTTGAAGAGCAAAGTCATACGGCTTCAATGCACACTTGGGGAGGGACAACTTCATGCTATGAATGGGCCGTCTCCCTTCCTTGCGTAGAGGACGGGGCTATTCCAGCCTGCCATCTTGGGAGCGATCTCCCTCCCGCCAACGCAATGCTGCGACACCTGCCTAGAAGTCTAAACAACCTGCACCATGTCCACGCACTGCGCCGCCTGCTCCTGTCGAGGAAGACAGGACATCTATGGCCTTTAGCCTACTTCGTGCTGAAAACCGCTTGGTACTTGGCGACTTTAACGCGCACCACGATCTTTAGCATTTAGCAGGATGGAGCTGGCGGCACAGATTGACGATTTGAAAATTCTGCACAATGAGTGACGAAGCTCCCACCAGAATTACCAGCGCCTGTAATAGCTCGCCAGATATTACCATCGCTAGCGGTGGTCTCATAAATACCATCTGCCCATAATTATCTAGATCGAGAAACCTCCCGACTTTATTTCTGTGGACAACCGCACCTTTGCTAACTTTAACAATGCTAACTGGGTTGCATTTACCGTCATAAACCCCCAGGTAGTTCATTGACTAAACCAGAAGCCACCCTGCGAGAGGACGATCCTCGTAGCGTTGGACTTGTCAAAAGCTTTTGACGCAGTCAACCCCACAACGCTACTTGAGGACATAGAACAATCCATACTATCTCCAGGGCTGAAGCAGTGGACTATGAACTACCTGACTTTAGTCGGCATTTAACCGAACTATTACGAGGTCAAAGCTCAAAACTTAGAAGAATTAAACAGGGTTCCGCAGGGAGGAATCCTCACCACGCTACTGTTTAATTATTACATCGCGAAACTCTCCCAACCACCAGAAGGAATTTCCATGACCTCGTACGCTGATGACTGCACGATATTGACGTCGGGCAATGGAATCGATGGCATGAGCTCGAAAGTAAACGGCTATCTCTACGACCTTTCTCGCTTCTT